AACACTGACTTGCAAGAAACGAGATGCCGGCGTATTTTGGTGGAAAGATATAATAGACACTTTTTTCTCAACTCATATATTGAAAGGTGTCTGGTGAACCAGAACATCTCAGGTGAGGGCGACCCTCTTATTTAATTCCAATTTGATGCTGGCATCGCAGGGGACAATTGAGATGAGGCACTAAAATTAACAAATGTTCTGAAGCGCTTCACCCACCTGTTCCACTTGTAGATCAGGTTTGCCAGATGCCTTTTAAACAGATTACACTTTGAGACTTCTGTCTTTCGCAGCTGTGATGCATGCGACAGCCATTAGGCGATTTGAAGTACCATAAGCACATTCGCTATTTTTCTCAGTTAAAATTTAAATCGATGATAAACGGTTTAAAGATAACCCAAGACATTTGAACCATTGTGTTTTTCAGAGGTAGCAGCTTCTGTTTGAGATTCTAAATTGCTGATGACACAGTAAGTCTTCAGCCTTTTATACCCGTGATCGTCTTCCTCATATAATAGGAATTTTCTGCACCTCTTCTGTCGTCAGTTGGTCGCCTATCGTGATAATCCCGGAAAAAACAATACAAAGTTCATCACGAAAGAAGCATGTGGTAATCGTTTTGGAACATTATCCAGCGATTTGATACGTATTGGTCATGAGCATTTTTATCATACTGTTTCCTTTCCTCAGGCCAGTCAATCATTCTCCTGTTACCGATGAATGACAGCGTTTTAATTCGCTAATGGTCCATGTACGTGCAGCGGCTTAGTGTTAAAATGAAGCAGTCTTGTATTCTGTTTGTTGCGATAATTACTTCTAGCCACTGGCGTAAACAAAAGTGCCCTTATTTGTGATACCAACTGCATCTGTAGCTTTTCAGCACTTTTGCTGTACCGTACCATAGGTGCATCGTAAAAAGAAGAATTTCTCTCTTAAAGCAGACACCCTGTTGACAGTTTTGTATGCATGCGAAGTGTACCTTGATCCGACTGCTATATGATAAGTTGGTAGGCTGGAGAAATGGTTTATGCTTAACCAATTTCTCTAGCCAGACCAACCTTTTTCGCTTAAACCTAACATCTACGCGGTTCACAGCGAATCGTAAGAAAAATTGAATCATTCCCTTCATGGTCCTACCGTTTAACTTTTATTATGCATGAAATAGAACGCTGCCTACGCAGTTCGGTTGTTGTTGTAGTACTTTTGCTAGAGCACTCTGTTTCCATGTCGCACGACCACGTTGAATTGTGCTTGAGGGAGCCAGGGTGGAGGCGTAATTTGGTAGAGCACGTTACTATCTTCTCCGCCCAAATATTACACTGGTTACCAAAAGAACTGGATTCGAAGGAAATGGTCCTTTTTGACTGGGACCGCATTCTGCCTTCAATGCCCGGCATGAACCAGGAGGTCGGCTTTCGCAGCTGTGCTTCAGACAAGAGCCGTCGGAGGAGTAAACTCACTTTTTGTACCAATCACCAGGTCATTATTATCTGAGTATTTTGGTTCAGCAGCGTTTTCTTTTTCGAACGCGACCTTGTTTTTTCGTCACTGCTTTAGGAGAGAAAGTAAGGAACGGCGTTGAATAGTAAATGCTCAATAATATCATCCCGGAGAATCACGTGATTAATAACGAGCCATGATTCTCATTGGTCGCAAACAGCTGACGTTCTACATGTCTCATCGAAAATGAAAACCATGTTCTCTGGTATCTCAAGCATGTTTTTAAGATTGCCCTCTCCCTCCCCCCATGAGCGATTTATTGGATCAGACGCCGCAGGCAGTAGAGGAAACTGGTCAGGGCAACAGCGATCAGCCGGAATGTGCTTCACTCTAGCTCACCTCTCATGATCGTGCATTATCACGATTTCGAAACACACACCTCCCACTGGACTCATTTGAACAACTCCGTACGAGCATTCTTCACTTACCGGGCACCTGCTTCAGTATCACTGAAAATTGTATTTGCGCCAGACATCATGAGGTCATCGTTGTCACTTATCTGTCGAATATATGGAAAATTGCGGAACGGATACTCTTATATTTGCATTACTGATGAACGAAATGAAATTGATGAATATTCAGCCACCTCCATCAAGGTTCTACAAATCGGCTAGTCACACTGAAGACATCACAAATGACGCCTGCTTCCTTTCACTTATCTTTCACAAACAATTGTCGATCTGTTTTTAAAGTATAGTCGATTTGTTAATACGACTTAACCCAAGAAAGTGCATAAAAGAAGTTATTCAAACAGGAATTAGCATGTTCATATCGTTTTCCATGCATTTCCTGCCTATAAAAATTGACGATCACAAAGTTGACCTCTTCATATCTATGAAGTGTTTGGCATCGTTCTGTTTCGAGATTTGTCCCCATTCTAACATGCTGATTTTACTGCTGATAAATTATAGACAAATGGGTATATTAGGCTCTTAAGGAGACAGGATACCTCAGTTTCGATTGTGCCGTCAGCTTCTTCGTTTTCGACTCACCAGACTCGATATACAATATACAGGATACATTAATGGAAAATATTAAGCTACCAGTTGTTGAGAAATAGGTATTATTTTGTGTGAAGTCTAACAATGAATTAATTTCCAAGCGCTGGATATGTCATGTGAAATCTCGCAACTATTACATAGCTTATTAGTAGATATGCGTAAAGGTTTCTTTGTAATGGCTTTCATTCAATGCTGATGGCTGCCAGTCATGTTGAAGTCGTTTGTTTCCACGTCATGAAAGTTTCCTAGGGTACAGACGACTAAGCCAGTGTCCAGTGTGGTTATTCCATGGGCATTTCGTTATCGCCATTTCTGACTTTCAGAAATCTATATGTCTGGTTGATATCGCCGCAGTTACGATAAACGTGATAGGTCAGATTTGTACTGTAGTTTCTAAGTAACAATCAAATTTTTTGTAAAACAGCCTCCTGAGAGTTTTACCCTTGCTTAGTTGTTGGCATGCGCCTAGTACAAATCGAATGGTGATCAGAATTTACGATTGGAGGGTGGAGTTTCACTCATTTTTTGCAGGTTACACCTAATCAATGCGCTGTTCGCTGATTTGATGTCTGTCGTTCAGCTGTTGATCAGATTCTACCCGTCTTCAGACATTTAGACAGATTCACTGCGCGGGTAGCAAGATATTGCTGTTATTGAGTCGTAAGATTAGGCTTGTTCCTCGGTCTTGGAGTCAAACGGTTGCTGGTCATTTTTCGTTCGATTTCTGTTACTGAAATGCTCATGACAAACCTTTCAGAATATATGGCTGGCGACTATATCGCACCAGAGAGCGAAAGCAGCGAAGATCCGAGTTCAGAAGAAAAGTATAGAAAGCGTCCAGTCCGACGGCAGAAGGGGTATAGAAAAGAACAGAAGCAGGAAACCGCCAAAAAACAGCCCTTGAAGATTTCGGCATCAAACACTGTGGTGAAGAAAGATTCGTATCTCACTGAATACCCGTCGAAGACCCTAACCGGAACAGCTGAGGTCTATCTGACTCACTTTGATTCATTTGAAGACATGTATTTTCGACACGCAAAAGACAATCTGCTGTACGCGAACGAGGTAATGCCACGGCTTCGAGAATTGGGTAACAGCCGCCCGAGGTTCATCGATTACCGAGATGTGGATGAGGGAATCGCATGCGCCGTCCTGAATGGTTCCGAGTGGCAGAGGGCGACAGTTTTGGAGAAAACCCCTGATTACGTGAAGTTTCAGACCATCGATATCGGCGAATGTGTGTCCATCTCGGTTTCGGATGCCAAAGAGTAAGTCTCTGAGCGTATGCCTTTATGATAATTTGTCTTATGATCTGCTTGGTGAGGAACTCTAGCGCTTTAAAGCTTATTGATATTTTACAACAGCTAATGATGAAACAGTT